CTGCTTCTCCCTCTGACCCTCCCCCCTCTCATGTGCTCTCTCTCATTCTCTCTGTCTCAAATAAATAAATAAAATCTTTAAAAAAAAAAAAAAAAGTTATGGTTTCCAGGGTGACTGGATGGCTCAGTCAGTGAAGTGACCGACTCTTGGTTTCAGCTCAGGTCATGATCTCACTGTCCTGAGATTGCTCCATGCTCAGCAGGGAGTCCACTTGAAGATTCTCTCCCTCTGCCCCTCCCTCCCTTCCCATGCTCACGCCCTCTACCAAATAATTTTTTTAAAGATTTTATTTACTTATTTGAGAGAAAGAGTGAGCTAGAGAAAGCATACAAGCAGGGGGAAGAGCAGAGGGAGAGGGAGAAGCAGACTCCACTGAGCAGGGAGCCCCACAGCCCCGGGCCTTGATCCCAGATCCCAGGGATCATGACCTGAGCCGAAGGCAGACACTTAACCAACTGAGCCACCCAGGCACCCCATCAAATAAATAAGTGTTTTTTAAAAAGTTATATTTTCTAAGAAGTTATGATAACAGCAAATGTTTTTGCTAGTTTTTTTTTTAAAAAAAAGGATTACACATATGCACACACACAGACCCTCTCAGTATATGATGACAACTAGGTCAGAAAAAGCATAGGCAAAAGAAAGAATTTTTTTTTTTAAAGATTTGTTTATTTATTTATTCATGAAAGACAGAGAGAGAGGCAGAGGCAGAGGGAGAACCAGGGTCCCTGCGGAGCAGGGAGCCCGATGCGGGACTCGACCCCAGGACGCTGGGATCATGACCTGAGCCGAAGGCAGATGCTTAACCGACTGAGCCACCCAGGCAACCCGCAAAAGAAAGAATTTTTAAATGTCCATATGCCAATATCCTTCACATACCTTACCAGAGTAATAAAGACCCTGGGATGAACTTAAGAAGTTCATCACAGGCAAGAGGTCCATGAGGAAAATCAGAAACGCTAGCAAGGGAGACACGAACAAAAAGAAGACATGCTATGCCCTTGAGTAGGGGGGATGAACACAAAGATGCCACTTGTTCCCCGTTAACCCATCCATTTAACATGACTCTCACAACGACATCAACAGTTTGGGAGTAGGGCCCAATACATTCAGTACTAATAATGTTCCAAGGGAACAGTAAGCACAAACAGCCTGGATAATGCTGAAAAAGAGAAGTAATGGTAAGTGACTAATCCTATCTGAAAGTATAACACAGTGTAAAATTACAGTAATTCACCGGTGCGGAACCCACATCACTGGGAGAAATAAGAAAGGTCAAAATGAACTCAAATAAACATGGAATTTAGTGTGTGATAAAGGAGAAGAATCAATCAGGGAGGGAAGAGAAAATTATGGTGGCTCTGCAGCGGTGGGGCCCCATGTCCCCACACCCCTCCTCACTCAGCACAGCACCTGCTCACAGCGCTCCTGGACATGCACAAACAACTCTTCCAAGTGTGAAGAAGACACCAACTCCTAGCAGGAGCCTCCACCTTACACAAGATAAACACATTTAAAAAAACAAGATAATAGGGGCGCCTGGGTGGCTCAGTCGTTAAGCATTGGTCTTCCGCTTGGGTCATGATCCCAGGGCCCTGGGATCGAGCCCCACATCGGGCTCCCCACTCAGCGGGAAGCCTGCTTCTCCCTCTCCCACTCCCCCTGCTTGTGTTCCTGCTCTTGCTATCTCTCTGTCAAATAAATAAAGTCTTAAAAAAAAAAAAAAACCCAAGATAATAAATAGGAGAAAGGAAAACTCGAGAGTCTCTTATTTCTTTTTGTTCATAATCTTGGAGAGCAGAAGGCCTTCCTACGTTTAACAAAACTCAGATACCACAAAAGAACAGAATAAAAACTTGACTCCATAAAACTAAAACTCTATGTAGCAAGAACTACACAGAGGCAAACTGGCTAAGAACATACGGCTTTGTCACAAAGGCCTATTTTTACCCTAGATATATAAAGAGCCCCTTCAAATCTATAGGGAAAAACTCAACCCATGATGAAATTAGGCGAAGGTTATGAGTAAGCTGTACACTAAAAAGGAAATCCAAATAGCTCTGAAAAGAGGAAAATATGCTCACTCTCAGTCATAACACACATGTGCATCAAAACTACTTTCAGGACACCTGGGTGGCTCAATTGGTTAAGCATCCAACTCTTGAGTTCGGCTCAGGTCATGCTCTCAGGGTCATGAGATCGAGCCCTGCATTGGGCTCCATGCTGAACACAGAGCCTGCTTGGGGTTCTCTCTCCCTCTGCCCCCCTCCCCCCACCCCCACTGCATGCCCACTCACTCACGTGCCATCTCTCTCCCCCTCTCTCAAAACACAAAACAAAAACCCAGAAAACCACTTTCAGACATAACTTTTCACCCATCTCATTAACAAAGATAGAAAAATCTGGTTTACTAAAAATAAGTATGTTCGTTATCCCCTAGATCCAACCATCCCACTTCGGGGAATTGATCCCATATTCTGAAAAATGATACTGTATACGGCAAAGACATTCACACTGTTTGTATTAGCCAAAGTTTGGAAGCAACTTAAATGCCCATCAACAGAGAGACTAAATAAATAAATCACAGTATGTTCATCCCATGATTCTGATCGTGATTCCAAATCTATATCCAAGATGTAAAGTGAATATGGAAACAACAGAGTAGAACCGTGTGTATCATGTGTTCACTTCTGCTTAGAAAATAAAGCACGTGGGTGTGCCTGGCTGGCTCAGTCGGAAGAGCATGGGACGCCTGACCTCAGGGTCCTGGGTTCAAGCCCCACACGGGGTGTAGCGATCACTAAAAATAAAACTTTTTAAAAAACACATAATTTTAAAAAGAAAAGAAAATGTGTGAGACGCCTGGGTGGCTCAGATGGTTAAGCGTCTGCCTTCGGCTCAGGTCACGATCCCAGGGTCCTGGGATCGAGTCCTGCATCGGGCTCCCTGCTAGGCGGGGAGCCTGCTTCTCCCTCTGCCTCTCTCTCTCTCTGACTCTCATGAAGAAAGAAAAGAAAAGAAAAGAAAGAAGAAAGAAAAAGAAAGAAGGAAAGAAAGAAAAGAAAAGAAAATGTGTACACATGCTTGTATTTACACGGAAGGTTCTGGGAAAACGCACAGGAAAATGGTAACAGCACCTGCCTGTACAAGGAAAAAGGAGTGGCTGGGGTTCAACGGTGGGAAAGGACGTTCCTTTCATCTACACCCCTTTGTACCTTTAAAACTGTGTCCCACGCTAACAAATCTAAAAGTAATTTTAAAACAAAACATAAATGAGGAACTGCACCTTCATAATTGTGAAAAAGTGCGAGTAACCTAAGCGTCTGTCCCGAGGGAAAGGGTATGTGAGTGACGGGGATCTTTTTATACACTGAAAGTGCTCCAAGGAAAAGAGAGCGCCTGCAGAACAATACATTCTATACACGTAGCTGCACGAAGGGGACAAGTGCCAAAAGGCCAGGTGGTTACCTCCGCGATGGCGAAGGAGCAGAACTGGGGGGGGGGAGGGTCCGAAGAACACTTGACCTGAATCTGTACTTTCACATTTTTTTCAAGCTGAATACATTCACACGATGCTTATATATATTCTTAAAGGGCTGGAGACATGGCTGAATGTTGGCAACAGTGGCTTGGGCATGTTGAATTACGAGGGATTTTTCTCTGGTTTTAATTTTCCGTACTTTCCAAATACTCTGCATGGAGCAGGCATCGGCTACATCCTCGGGAAAAGAAGAAAGTCAAGGACTTCCATTTGAACGTGCGAGGCGGGGAGGGCAGGGGGTCTCCGCCCGCGCTCACTTACTTGTCTGGGACGCCGGGTGCTCCTGGCTTCTCTGGAAGGGGTACCTGAACAGCAGCTTATTGCCCCTGCTGCCCGAGCTCACCAGAATCACGCTGATGGGGCTGGTGTTGTCGCCCATCCTGCCGTGGGCGGAGGCGGGCGGGGGGCCCCCCGAGGAGGACGGGCCCGGACCGGGTGGGGACGGGGAGGGACACAGAGAGGGCCGGAGGGGCGGAGGCGGGCCGGGGGCCTGAGGAGGACCGGCCGGGACCGGGTGGGGACGGGGAGGGGCCCGGGGCGGAGGCGGGCCGGGACCAGGTGGGGACGGGGAGGGACACGGAGGGGGCCGGAGGGGGCGGAGGCGGGCCGGGGGCCCCGAGGAGGATGCGCCGGGGGCGGGAGGAGGAGAACCTGAGGAGGATGAGCCGGAGGGCGGGAGGCTCGGGGGACGACGCGCCCAGGGCGGGGCTGAAGGGGCCTGACCAGGACGCGCCCAAGGCCGTGGAAACGTGGGGCGCCGGGAGCCAGGCGGACGGGACCCCCGGAGTTTCCAAACCCACGACCCACCACCCACGTCCTGGCAAGTTCGCAACACCTCCGCGACACGGCCAAGCAACAGCGCAGAAGGCGCCTGCGCGCTGACAGGGGCCGTCGGCGCAGGCGCAGGCGCAGGCGACCTGTGCGCCACGGGGCGGGGGGGGGGGGGGGCTTCTCGGGATGTTGGGCGCATGCGCGGGCCGTGTACTTCCCGCGTGGGGCAAAGGGACGCACCCACCAGCGTGAATGGGAAAGTAACACTTTCTTTGAGCCGGAAGTTTAGACTTAAGGCATGTAAAGAACTAAAGGAAAAAAGGAAAAACAAAAAAAACTCTTCAATGAATGGATCATAGACCTAAATGTAAGAGCTAACAGTATAAAACTCTTACAAGAAAACGTAGGAGTAAACCCTCCGGTTCTTGGGCTAGGCAAGAGTTCTCAGATAAGACACCAAATGCTCAAGAAACTAAAGAAAAAAATTAAGTGGACTTACCAAATTAAAACCTACTGTGCTTCAAAGGGCACCACCAAAGAAACTAAAAAGAGCACCCACAGAATGAGAGAAAATATTTGCAAATCATATAAGGGAATTGTATCCAGAATATATTAACAAAAACAAACTTAGAGCTCATCAATAAAGACAACCAATTGAAAAATGGTCTTAGAGGGCACCTGGCTGGCTCAGTCCGTAGTGTGTGAGACTTGATCTCTGTGGGTCGTGATTTTGAGCCACACCTTGGGTGTAGAGATCCGATAGATAGATAGATAGATATAGATATAGATATAGATATAGATATAGATATAGATATGCTAGGAAGGGAGGGAGGAAGGAAGGAAGAGAAAAGTGGGCAAAGGATGTGAACGGACATTTCTCCAAAGAATACAGACAAATGGCCAGTAAGCTCATGAAAGGATGCTCCACATCATTACTCATTAGGGAAATGCAAATCAAAGCCAAAAATAGATACCACTTCACACCCACTAGGACGGCTGTAATCAGAAAGACAAAATAACAAGTGTTGGCAAGCATGTGGAATTGAAATCTTGACACACTGTTGGCAAGAATGTAAAATGGTGCAGCCGCCGTGGAAAACAGGCAGTTCCTGAGAAAGGTTGGACACAGGGTTCCCATATGACACAGCCATTCCACTCCTAGGTGTAGACCCAAGAGAAATGAAAACATAAAGTCACTCAAAAACTTGTGTGTTCATAGCAACATCATTCACAGTAGCCACAAAGTACAAACAAGCCCAATGCCCATCCGCTGATGAATGGGTGAATAAAACATGGTCTAATCCATACAATGAAATGACCATTCAGTCATAAAAATTAAGTACTGGTGTGTGAATGAACCTTGAAAATATACATGTTGTGTGGTTCCATTCATCTGAAATGTCCAAAGCAGGGTTATCTGAGAGAAAGAAAGTAGATTAGGCTGTTTAGGCCTGGGGGTTGGAGGGTATGGCTCCTTGGGTATGGAGTTTCTCTTGGGGTGATGAAAATGTTCTAAAATTAATTGTGGTGATGGTTGCACAACCCTCTGAATGTACTAAGACACCCTGACCTGCACACTTTATTTTAAAAAAGATTTTATGTATTTTATTTATTTTAGAGAGAGAGCATGCACACATGGGTGAGCAGGGGAAGGAGAGCGGGAGGGAGAGGGACAAGCAGACTCCATACTGAGTGTAGAGCCCATCTCGGGACTCAGTCTCTCAACCCAGAGATCATGACCTCGGCCGAAATCAAGAGTCAGTCGCCCATCCAATTGAGCCACCCAGGCGCCTCCGAACTGCACACTTTAAACGAGTGAATGAGTGAAGTGCATGCTATGTGAATTATATCTCAATGCAGCTGTGAAAGGAGTGTGTAATATCATTCCTCCCACTTTATTCTTCATTTCTAAAATGGTTTCGGTTATTCTAGTTCCTTGGCCTTTCCATGTGAATTTTAGAGTGAGCCAAAGAGGTATCTGCACAAAATCCTGCTGGACTTTTTAGAATCAGAAGCAAATGTTTCCTCTACAGGGAGTTTTGATCACAGATATTTTCCTGAACTATTCGTAGAGAAAATTTGGTTTAGACAAGCCCTGTGAAATGGAAAACCTGTGCCTAAACGTCAGCCAGTATTGACCACCTTCTGTGTGCGGTACACTGTGCTGGCGTTTTACTCGTGTTATGGTGCTCATTTCTTCCATGCCCGAGATGTGAGATGGTGAGGTCTTCAGGGGTTGAGGGCAGGGGCAGCGTCTGATGGATGCTCAGCTCAGCAGACAAGGTCGGGGTCTCTCCCTGGCTGCAGGTACCTCTGTGTGTCTTGGAGGTGAAGTCCACCTTCCCAGAAGCTCTTTCCAACACTGCCTGGGTCCTTCTCCATCCTGGTCTCTCCCTTATTTACATTTCACAGCTGCCCCCTCTCCTTATGAGGCAAGGTTCCCCTCTCCTAGGGGTGTACCCACCCTCCCCTGGCTTTCTGATTGTTTGCCAACTGTCCTGGGCCGTGCCGTTGCCAACCCCAGAGGGCTCTAGGGTGTCTGCCTGGAGTGTGGTGGTGCCTCTGTGGGTCTATTCCAGACTGAGATGAGCCCAGCCCTCCTTGGTCGTCTCTTGCTTTCGCTTGGTTCAGAAGGCACGTGGGCCTACGGTAAGGGTGTGTGGCTGTGCCCAAAGCTTCCGCTTCTAGAAAGGAGAGAGACGGGGGAGGCAGGGAGAGAGACAGAGATAAGCAGACAGACTGGCAAAGAAAACAGAATGAGTGAGTGAGAAAGAAGAGACGGAGGGTCAGAGGGAAGGCCAGGCAGAGGCAGGGAGTCTGGAGGCCTGGGGTGAAGCACAGAGAAGGGATGTGCCTCCAGCTGTGGTGTGTGGACACTGCAGGGCTGCCCTGTCTCCTCACAGAAGGTAATGACCGTGGACCCCGGGATGGCACTCCCAGGCAGCTGCCTCCTAGGGGCGATGGTCCTCACCGCCCATCAGGCCTCAGGGCCTCCTCTCCCTCCTGGCAGAAACTCCACCCCATCCTTGGCCTCAACAAGGAGGGGGAGCCACTGGAGGCCTCTTCGTTTCTGAAACTTCCAAGCCCCACAAACCTTTGTTATGGGCAAACATCCCATTATTATTATTTTTTTTTTACTTTTTTTCGTTGTGAAATATATACAGGCCACCAAATAAAATAAAGATTTTATTTATTTATTTGAGAGAGAGAGCAAGTGAGAGAGCAAGCAGGAGGCCGGGCAGGAGGCGGGGGAGGGGAGAGGGGCAGGGGGGAGAGAGAAACAGCCCCTCTCTGAGCAGGGAGCCCAACGCGGGGCTCGATCCCAGGACCCTGGGATCATGACCCGAGCCAAAGGCAGACACTTAACCGACTGAGCCACCCAGGAGCCCCTGACTCCACTCTCTTAATCCTCTTTATGGTCGAACAGTTTATCATTTTAATGTAGTCAAATTTAGTTATTTTTTGGTCCTACTTAAAAATATTGCACCTTCTATTTACAAAAGCCAAATGTCCATCAATGGATGAATGAATAAACAAATTATGGTATTTCCATTCAATGAGATATTATTTAGCCATAAAAATAAAGCACTGGGGGCACCTGGGTGGCTCAGTCGGTTGGGCGTCTGCCTTCGGCCCAGGTCATGATCTCAGGATTCTGAGATCAGGTCCTGCCTTGGGCTCTCTGCTCGGCGGGGAGTCTGCTTCTCCCTCTGACTCTCCCTGTGTGCTATCTCTCTTTCAAATAAATAAATAAAAATATTTTTAAAAAAATAAAGCACCAACACCTGCTCCAGCATGGATGAACCTTGAGAACATTATACTAAGTGAAAGAAGTCAGACACCCAAGACCACATGTGTATGATTCCATTTACATGAAATGTCCAGACAGGCAAGTCCATTCAGATAGAAAGCAGATGAGTGGGTGCCAGGGGCTGGGGTGGGGGGAATGGGGAGCGATTGCATAAAGGGTACTGAGTTTCCTTTTGGGATGATGAAAATACTCTGGAACTAGACAGTGAGGATGGCTGAACACCACGGTGAATATTCAAAATGCCACTGAATTGTTCACTTTGGAATGATTAATTTTGCATTCTGCTAATTTTACCTCGATTTTCTAAAAAGTGAAATAAGTGTTGTGAGGTGAAGAGAGCCTTCCATGTTAGCTTTCTAAGAACTTTACTGTTTGGTCTTTCAAGTCGGGCAACAGTCCACCTGGGACTGGTCTTGCGTGTGAGGTGAGGTGAGGTGTGGTTTTAGCTGACATTTGTCATGTGCTGTCTGAATTCTGGGTACAGCACCAAACACTCTCCGTGTTGGGTGTTTGGCCCTCACAGCTCTCTGTGGGAGAAGTTTTCTTTTATTATCATTACATGCTTTAAGATAAGGAAATTGAGGCTCAGGAGGGTTATGAATTGTTCAAAGGTTCAGTGAAGGAGGGAACCAGCCCCAGTGGGTAGAGGGGACCTAGGTTTGGTGTGGGCCAGATTGCTGGCTTTTTGGGACTCAGGCAAGTCTCTTCAGTCTCTGGGCCTGGGTTCTCCCACCTGTGACACAAGGAGCCTGAGCTTGGGCAGCGCTCCAGGATATTGAGACCTGCTGGACTTGGCTGAACACCAAGCCCTGGGCTCACACAGAGCTTGTGTAGTTGGGGCTGAGCTCAGAGGGACCCTGGTGACTCCGCAGAA